AAGACCTGGGACCAGGTGCTACCGTACGTCACATTCGCGTACAATACTGCCGTCCAGGAAACTACGCGATTCACGCCTTTCCGTCTTGTCTATGGACGTGAGGTCCAGACCATGCTGGATGCGATGCTTCCACACAATTGCGATCCTTTGATCACTCCTGATGCTGTGCAGCTTACCCAGTACGCCGAAGAAGCACACTAGTTAGCACGCCTACACATTACGCACCAGCAGAGTACAGACGCATACCGCTACAACGCTCGCCATCGACAAGTTGAATACCATCCAGGCGATCAAGTTTGGGTGTGGACTCCAGTCCGATGCCAGGGATTGTCAGAAAAACTGCTCAGTCGCTACTTCGGACCATACAAAGTCTTGTGACGCGTGAGCGATGTGAACTACGAGGTAGTCCCTGACGGTGCCTTATCACCACGACGGCGACGGCACTCCTCGGAGATTGTCCACGTGGTGCGCCTGAAGCCATACTTCCCGCGGTAGTGCGACTGCGCATGAACCATATCGCTGTTTTTGTGTATGCGCGTATTTTCTGTTGGTTCACCCCGACTTTGCCTTTGTACTTTCCGAGCATCAGAATGATGCCGTTTTTTTTTTTTCCTCAGAGGGGGAATAATTCCACTTGGCCGCTAGTTACGGCGAGCGCAATCCATGGCTGCCCGCGAGAATGGAAGACGATGTTCTGGGGCAGCACGTGCTCTGGCTAGTTATTTATTATTGAAGCAGCCATCTTGCCAGTTTTCGGTGCGTCTCCCCGCCGGCTCAGTTCTTCCTAGTTGAAGACCTTTTGTCGCACGTGACAATATATATATATATATATATATATATGGCGTGGTGCTATCGGTCTTAGTTCGGAAACGGAATGACTGTAAGGCTCCGTTGCCAGCATTCCAGATGAGATAACTCGGCTGGTATCGTATGTTGGAGCTTAATATGCCCCACTTAAAAGAAAATGAATGCGATTGCTGTAGTTTTAAACCCTGAGATAAATGCAGCTGCACTACTGTGTAACCTGAGAAAGTGCGTAACACGGGCACGCAGCGATTGCCGTTCGCCAAGTTCCCGCTGATGTGTTCACCGAACAGTCGATGTCGCCAAGGTTTGAAATTAGCAGATAGGGTTTTCTCGCCACGAGTAGGATCTTGTAGAGGCATTCGCACACTCGGTGTACAACTTTCTCGCTGTTTTCTGCCGTGCTTTATCGATTTCCTGGCTGGCAGCAGTCGAGGTGCGTGTCGTCTGTATCCAGTTCTGTTTTACCCTTCAAATGAGATGCATTAGGTGTAGTGTAGTGGCGACAAAGGCTACCAGTGTCGGGACCGCGCCGGCTTACAGAAAGCGTTTTGCGATACAGGCGGAGCAGTCCGAGTGACGACTGCCGATTTTTCGGCAATCATGGTTTTTAATGATAACGAAGGCAGTGAGCGGAATATTCACGAGGTCACGCGAGATAGATAAACACAAATATTTTGGTGTATAGGTAAGAAATAGGGCTGAGTATTTAAAGGGGCTCTCCAACACTATTTAAGCACCTATTTTTTATTTATGGTTTGCTTAGATCGATATCTGAAGATAATTTTGGCATAGGTCTAAGCACCGATATCAAATTATGTGGTATTCTAATCACGCAATAAAGTCACTACATCGCTGCCGAGCTGATCAGCACGAAGTGGCACCCGCCTGAACTTTCCGGGTGGAAGTGACACCGGATAGCGGCCGCCATATGATTAGATAAATTAGGTTAAAAGGAATCGTGGTGTAGGATCAAAACTGAGGTCACTAATTTGTCAGTGCTTGTACATGTCGCTCCAAGAATACCGACACCTCGGAGGCTGCAACTTCTCCTGGGTATGTTTCCAGTGTACCTTGCCTCACTTCCCTGCTGACATTTTCATATCCCATCATCGCCCTTCATCTCAACACTTGCCATCCCCGACGGGCTCACGTTCGAGCCACTCGGGGCTTACCCCACCAACATTTTTTCCCCGCGCGAAGACGCTAACCTTTTGGTACAACAACTGTCGAAGTGTCCGCAACAAAGTAGTGGATTTACATGCGCATCTGTCTGCGATCCCGTTAAATACGGTTGTGCTGCTCACAGAAACGTGGTTGTCAGAAACGTGGCTGTCAACAAAAAAGTTCGCTGTCAGTGACTGACAGCGAACTTTTCGACACTAGCGGGTACACAGTGCTCTGGAAAAGTAGCCGTAGTCAGGGTGGGGGTGTCTTGATGGCTTTCCCAACTCCTGTAGGAGTGAACCACCGGGGAGGCTTGGAACATGATGGTCTAGAGACTCTTTTCATCGAGTTTTTCTTACCGCACAGCATCGTCATGATCTGCTGCCCACCTTGACTAAAGGATGCAACGTATGAGCACCTTGATTCATCCCTCTCACTGGCCTTCAGCAAGTAGTATACCAACATTTTGGTATTTGGTGACTTCAATGTTCATATTGACTGGACTTCACGTATACGTTGACCCTCTCCCACACGACCGCACCTACAACCTACTCCTAGATGTCATAACGTCAGCCACTCTCATCAAGGCATATTTCAAACCCACATACTCTTCACGAAATGGTACCTCCGCCTCTGTAGACCTTTTGTACGTGGCTGACCCAACTCGAGTAACCTCCTGCACAATAAGTGAGGGCCTGTCTAACAGCGATCATCAGGCCATTGAAGTGTGCTAAGCTGCAGTGTTACCCGAAATGGGCACCACACTCGTCAGGTGTAAAAATTTGACCGGACTGGCCTACTAAGCTAGTGCACCTTGCACCCTGGTGCATGAACTCATCTGGCAATGACTGCCTTTGCAACTAAGAATTGCGGTGCGACATGGCATCGGCAATCAAATGCGAATGTATACCATTGTGCACCCGAACATCCATATGATGGCACCGCCCGTGGATCACCCCAGAAATAATGAAGGCAGCGAGACAAAAACGATAGCTGTTTCAGAAGGCCTCCAGAAGGCAATGCCCAATCACTTTCCTACCGGCGAAGGCCCACCAGCGCTCCCTCGAGGCACCAATCCACGTAGAGCATCAACGCTACACCACCAGGCTGGCTGAAGAAGCTACGGAGCACCCCAAGGTGTTCTTGTCTTACGTGAATAGTCTTCGGTCATCACGTCACCGCCCCGGCTTCATCATCCAGGGAAAGCTTATCGACCGCCTTGTGGAAGTCTCTGCTCTCTTTGCTGAACAATTTTCTTCCATCTATGTTGGAGCTCTCGCCAATTACACCTAACTACTTGGCAAGTTCTCTCCACGTGATCAAGGAACGCATCCCACTCAGCTTCCCAACGACTCGCGTGACAATTCCCTCTTCCCCTCAGCTACTTTTTCACCAGAAGCACTGTCCTCCGTCATCTCTAAAATCGATCCATTTCCAAGCCCTGGTCCCGATGGCATGGCACCCACCTTCTTTCGACTGCTTGTGCCCCAAGTGCTTGTATCCCTGTGCACTGTGTTCCAATTCCTACTTGATCATGGGACTGTGCCTGCTTCTTAGAAACCTGTCTGTTACCCCTGTTCACAAAGGGAAATCCAAGCCCTCTGACCATCTCAAGAACTATCACCCAATCTCCATCACGTTGATCATATACCGTACGTTTGAATGTGTTCTGCACAACCAGTTCCTTGACTTTCTCGAGCGGACAATCTTTTTCCCTGCCTCAGCATGGCTTTCGCCTAGACCGCAGCTGCAACACAGCCCTGGCTACCCTGAACCAGATCGTAAGGCACAATCTTGACTACCGGAAAGAAAGCAATCTCATTCAGCTCGACCTAAGCAACGCCTTTGACACCCTCAAAATTTCTTTCATGCTGGACAAGGTGAAGGAGACGAGTATTCGTGGATGCCTGCTCAGATGGCTGCCTACATTCTTGATCGGGCGTAGCCAATGTGTCTTATATTGTGGCGCCCACTCTTAGAGGACACCAGTGCCCTCAGGAGTGCCCCAAGGGTCTGTCGTTGAGCCGATTCTCTTCCTAATTTACGCCAACGACGTGCCCCAGGACAACCGGTTCCCCCTTGTGCTGTACGTGGATGACATGTCCATCTTTGCACCTATCCTCTGTCCCACCACAAGTCAGGATCTCCAAGAGTACCTAATGGTGATCGACTCTTGGATTCTTTCAAACCATTTGAAGCTGTCCTCGCTAAAAGCAGTGTGATGAAGCTCTCGAGTGCTCGCCTGCCACTCTCTTCTCACACAGGATTTGCTGAAAATCTTAGGTGTTGTGTTCACCAGACTTCAGCCTTCAGGTTGCAAGCGTCGCTGCTAGTGCCCGCCATGTCCTTGGCTTCGTGTCCAGTCTCTAAACCATGCGGCCTTCTGTACACATCAATCGTGCTGCTTATCCTTGAATATGGCTGCGCTGTGTGGTCACCCGACCAGCAGCATCTTATCGTCCACATTGAAAGCGTAAAAAGTAGAGCCTCGTGCACCCTTTACGCACGCTCCGTAAAGTCTCCGCCGGCAGACTACGCTACCCACATGAAGATAGCCAAGTGGCATCCTCTGCGACCACGCCATGCTGTAACCCAAATGCGCCTGCTCTATCGTCTACTTGACGACTCCCTTACGGACACCCCATTATGGTCAGCAGTACGTGTGAAGAAATGGTAGGGTCAGCCCGAGCCTCTGCACACACAAACTAAACGTCACGGCTCCTCCGCCATGCGCGATTTCCTCACTCTACCCATGAGCGTTCGCGCCCCTCGCATCAGCGCAGACTCCAAACGCGTCTGCTCCCTGTGCAGTCGCCATCTGTCCAACTATTCATGTGACCCCACCCTGTCCCCCCTTCACCCGCCTTTCTCTCTTTTTCATTGTTTTCCAGTGACAGGCTAGCAAACGCGCGCGTGTAAGGGTCTTTCCTTTCTGTTTAGCCTGACACGTCACCGGAGTGCTCTTCGTTTCAAATAAAAAAAATTATTTTAATTATTATTTTCATCGAACCCTGCACAGACAAGGCCACAACAAACAAGATCCCTGCGACTACACAGCACGACAGAGACACTGGCTGCCATTTCGCCACTGGATTTTTGGCTTGTGCAGGTCAGATGTTCATACGATAGACCTCTCTCTCCTTTTTTTCCTCTTCTTGTTTTTGGGAGTTTGCGAGCTGTCTCTTTCCACACATGCGCTATTGAAGAGATGCAGTGAACCATTGTTTAAAGGGCAGCTCACCGAACAACGAGCAAAGGGTCAACAGTACTTCACTGTCTTGGCCGTTCCACAAGTTTCTTTCTCAGAATAAAAGAGGTAGTGATTCCGAATGTTGTAAAGAAGCACAGCAAATACCTCGCTTTGACACTAGCTCACGTTCTGGCAAGCGAGGCGTCTGGCCCCACATTCGTTACTGTGGCAACAAGGTAGTTATTACTTTCAAAAAAAAAAAAAAAAAACACAAGCAACAATGTGGTGCAAGCTTCTCTTACATTGGTGCTTCCAGCTTACTTCATTGGGGCAGCCCTCCAACTTCACAGGCGAGTGAAATGTGGTCGAGTGACCCCGCGAAAATAGACTTGAGGGTCTGCATTATTTCTTGTATTTTGAATTTTCAAAGTCGAATAACTTGCCCCGCCGCGGTGGTCTAGTGGCTAAGGTACTCGGCTGCTGACCCGCAGGTCGCGGGTTCAAATCCCGGCTGCGGCGGCTGCATTTCCGATGGAGGCGGAAATGTTGTAGGCCCGAGTGCTCAGATTTGGGTGCACGTTAAAGAACCCCAGGTGGTCGAAATTTTCGGAGCCCTCCACTACGGCGTCTCTCATAATCATAAGGTGGTTTTGGGACGTTAAACCCCACAAATCAATCAAAGTCGAATAACTTCAGACTGCGTGTCGTTGTCACCACTGCCGTTATTGCTGCATTAGTCCGCTGTGCGTCAGTCTACACAACACACGAATAAAACATTGGGGGGGGGGGGGGGCACTGAATAGTGTTCGAGCGCCCCTTCAAGGGAGTGCGGAAGATATGTAATGGCCAAAGGTAACAGGAATGCAAGTGCAATGAAAAATGGGGCTCTAAGGAACTACACTAAGAATGATATTGTGAGAAGGAAAGGTGTCATGGCTCTTGGTCTCGCATTTCACAATGCATGTCAGTATAGTTGATTGGTCGAGTTGGCGGTTCATGATGGTTTGAAGTACTAGCATGATATGTAGACAGGAACGACGTGGACAAGCGCTTACTACCAACTGAAAAATTAATTGGATCGAAAGCTGTGAAATATGTACTTACAGAAGAAACATTTCGTAAGCACATATGATTGCACCACGCCGCAAACCAAATATTACTAAATTGATGAAATATTTGTGTATATCAGCCCCACCTTACCAATGCCCACTTTTGCCTTATCACGATTTCTTAATTTCAATGGCAATCCGTCACTGTCCAAGAGCGCAAGCTCCTTAAAGGAGAGAGCTATTAGCCATTTGCTCACGCAAGTCAAGTCATCACGCACTATGTTTGCAGCTTGAATGATAAATCTTGTGCGCTCATCTTTGTGTTTCTTAACCACAACTGGGCTGTAAAACTCAACTTCACAGCCACATCTTCTGACGTGTTGTGCCAGAAAACCATCTTTGCCTCAGTGAAGATTGAACTTTCAGTTGGTAGTGTGTCACAGTTTTGTGTGCCAACGTGGTCGAGTGTTGCACACGCTTGGTGGTGATAGTTGTACTTGGAGGGGCTTGTCGTTTTTAGAGCTCTTTTTAACTGGAACTGTTTCATTATAAGGAGTATCTAAATAATTATTTGTCATGCGTTACAGGAAATGATGTGTTGTGTGATGACTAACAGATGCCCAGCAACACATCGCAGCAATAAAGCGCAAGGTCAGAATTTTTCTGTCAGTACCCGTTCTAGTGGGTAGAAATGACTAGGGGAGAGGCTACCTGATTGGTGGCCACAATCAAGGCATGAGTGAAATTTAATGCTTCTCTACATAGTGCTAGTATTTTATATCGCAGCTCTGTGACGGGTGTCGCCACCCTATCGAAAGCGTACAGCCTTATCCATCCATTCATCCAGCTTTGTTCATGAAAGCGCAGACTGCGACACTTTTCAGCTAAAGGAAGCTTGGTCATTGCATTTGCCAAATTTCTTCCGGGCATATTGTGAGAGCATAAAAGAAAAAAATGCGACTGTGCCTGTGTGGGTAGGTTAGCTTTTGCAAGCCGCATGTCGGCGCCATGAGCTGTAGGCAAAACTGCAAAAGTGTGCAACTGCAAAAGTGTGCAGTTCTTTTTTTTTTTCTGTAAAAACAATGATGACAACAAGAAGTGTTAAATTACCTGATTGGTACATGTTTTTTTTTACTGGAACCGTCGCGTCTTCAGATGTTCACTCTTCCGAAACCATGCATGGGTATGTTCTTATTACGGGACATTATAAAGAAATCTAGTCTTTAAACTGTTTAGGTACATAGTGCTTTATGCAGTCTGCATTAAGCCTTCTTATGTTCGGTTCAGCTGAATTACTCCTGTCCACAGCTGAAAGTAACAGGTTCCAACAAACTTTCATTTAAAGTTCTCTGCTGGAATCTGGTGAATATTGCATAGAGCCAACCTAAATAAGAGTTAAAAGCAGGGAAAGCGTAGTATTCATTGCATGTTCAGAGAGGCAGCCTCATCTGAAAATTGTACATCTACAAGAAATAGTTGCATTTAGTTGAGCTGCTTATAGGTGGGCAGTCATTCATAAGTAAACTCCCAAAACTGATAGAGGGATGATGGATAAGCATGTGTGCCAATCTTACAGTTCGTTTGTGGAAATATTTATATATATTTCTATTGCAAAATGTAATTAGATTGAGGTTTATGAAACGGTGTGGCGGAATAAAAAAGAATTTCTGTCAATGCAAAAAAGCAAATGCCAACTCGAAACGGTAATTTTATTCAAATGTGCTGCGCATGTATTTCCATAATTATTCATTTAAATGTTCTCGTGATTGTGGGTTCTGCATGATTTAGGGATATTTCGTGCCGTGGTGTCACAAACATGAATACACATGACCTTGGTGAATCGTCAGTTTTTTCTGCGTGTAATTACAACTGTGCAGTATGATTAGTTCTTGGTATTTTTGATATATTAGCCTTTATCCCTTACTGTAATGGCCTTGAGCACTGTGGGTACTATGATAAATAAATATTCCTTTTTGGGAGAGTTGTGTGCATAAGGTGCATATGCTTGATTAAAGCACGGCTAATACGTTCTTTATGTTTTTGATAGCATGTTTTCCATTCAAGAGGTGGGCTTACGCAGGAGACGGTTTGATTTTTGGCCTTGAAATTCATGTGTGAGCGTCTCTTATCTATGAGTGGCTCTTATCCATCATTTTCAAGGTTTTTGGCAGTGCACACTCATGTACTCTTTCAGTCACCTTTGTTTTTGCTCAGAAATGTTGTAGAAGTGCTTCCCAACTCGTATGTATGCTCGTTGTCATGATGTCAAATATAATGGCTGGGTTCGGTCATTTTCGAATTGGGTAAAATAAGCTCTCTCGCTTGAACTTATGGCGTATTCGGTTGGCTGCTCTGGTCTTCTGGCTCAATGTCGCCAGATGCAGAGGCAGCTTGTAATCGGAGTGCGAAAGGCAGCATACCAAATGAGCATATCGGTGATCTTGGAACGCTTAGAGCAGCGTGCCTCTAGCGCCACCTTGCAGCCAGTGCGAGAAACTGCCGAGTAAACATTGCTGCGCTGCATCAACAAATGGTGTCGATCAGTTCAGTGGCCATCTCTGTCATAACTGACCTTTCTTATATTATTTCTCTCTCTCTTTGAAATGTCTTGATGTTGCAAAAGCCTTCTGAGCTCAGCACATAAATCTGCGATCATCCTTGTCAGAGCTGCTATCTTCAAGGCAAATCACGAAGCCGTCTGCTAACTGCTGTAGCGACAGCATAGACATTTTCTCCGCCTTCGCTAGCTTTCTCAGTATTGGCATAATGCATTCATGGTTTCATGGATGTGAATTCGCCCCACACATGCGTAAGAACACCATTAACAGGGGATGTGCATGATGTATTACGTGCCCGGCGATACCCCCTTCAGACATGCATGCTTGTTTTCCTCACCTTGTTCAACTGCCGGCAGCCACGTGATTGGCTGGCACGCGTAACGTGGTCCATCCTCCCGGTCAGATAGGACCACGCTCTCACTTAGGAGCGCTCTCAGTCTGAGGCTGAAGCTCTGAAGGTAGCCGAAGGTAGTCGGAGCACTCGAATTCTGCCAACCGAAGGCAAAGCTACTTTTCAGAGCGCTCGAAAACGCCCAACTGAATATGCCAATAATGACGTACTATGGTCCCACATTCTTTTTGTGGTGGTGTAAATTTGAATTTTAGAGACTTATCTCTGGTCTGACAAATTCGATGGTGTATCTGGACACACCTCTTTATAGCTTTCTTTGATGTTGCCTAAATGGTCTAATGGTTATGGCACTCGACTGCCTACTCGAAAGTCACAGTATTCAATCTCGGCTGAGGCGGCTGCATTTTCGATGGAGGCGGAAACGTTTGAGACTTGTGTATTTACACTTATTTACACTTAGGTGCATTTTAAAAAACCTCAGCGGGTTTCAATTTTCAGAGCCCTCCACTACAGCATCTCTCATAATTATGTTGTGGTTTTGGGTGGTTAAATGCCAGATATTATTATTATTACTTTCTTTGGTATTTCAGAATGGGAAATTATTATTATTATACATTATTAAACATTCGGTACTTGTGATAGATGACAAGTATTGTTCAGTATTTTTGGACATTCACTCACTCGTGTATTCCCGAGCTGAGTTTTAAATTTCTGCCGGTGAAGGTATTGGTGCAATGAATTTTTAAATAAATTTATCGACATTTAAATTTTTGTTAGGCATTGCACTGCTAGCCTTGCCTTCCTGGTAAAACGAGGTTAGTCAGCAAGTGATAGTACTGGAAGTGGTGTTCACAACATTGACTGCAGGAAAGTGATTGCTATCATGCACATTATTGAGAACATCCCAGGTTGAAATGAATATAAAAAGATAGTGAGAAAAATGCCAAGTTGATAAGAACTATATTCACACATCAAAAAAAGAATTAATTGGTGGCTCTCTTGTGTTATTCTGCCTCTGTCCCTAAGGAATAAGTTTGGGAAGCTCTTGTTCGTTTTTGCGCTATCACCAGCCACACCCCTTGTCATCCTCTGCTCTCAAGTAGCTGCTGATCATCGTAGTCGTAATCTTTTTTTTTTTTGTATCCTGTGACCACCTTATTGTGCCCTGACTGGGAAAATAAACAGAAATAAAAAAAGGAGTCTGTGAATGTTCGGCAAGTGTGTCACAGGGACATTCAGTGTTTCGTGTTCTTAGAGTTCCCACTTCTTTGTTTACCAAAACGTCAATGACACCGGTGCTTGAAGTAGGCATTTAGTGTTTTCCGGGCATGTGTAGAATCGTGCTAGACAAAATCACATTGTTGGTGTAAAGCATAGGCACTGCTTTTCGCTTTTTGTGGACTTCCTACTGGTTACCTCAGTTGCGACATGCGTCATCTGCAGCCACTCCCATCTGGTTGTTTCCTCCATCTGATGCAGTTGCGTAGTGACTCCGTGCTGACACATGGACAGTGCAGGGTAAGGGGCATTTGCTCGCTCACTGAGGCGGTGGTGCCCTCTCTCACTCCCTGTTGGAGTGAAGGTGAGGTTTGTGCTGTGTGGGCTCAGTGATTGCAGAGGATTGCAGAGGAGTGATTGCTCAGTGATGCAGTAACTGATTTCACTTGCATGTTATATATAAAGACAAAGGTATTGTCACAGCTAAAGGCCGGGCAAAAAGACAGAGGACGACGAAATGATGAGCGGGGACAGCATCCACGGTTCCTGCGAGGAAGATGACGTCGAAGCGGTGGCTGTTTTGTTCTGTTAATACAGACCTCGTTTTTTCTGGTCGCACCGTCATCCTGTATCTTATTTTCACCTCACGACAGTATGTGGTCGTGTGGAGTTGCAAAACACAACAACCTGCAGAGTCGATGTAGTGCCAGCTGAACACAAACGCTGTTTAGGCACGCAGCAGCAGACTACCGAGTGTTTCTTTTGCCTCCCCTTCACTATGATTTCTTCAATAATTTCGAGCTCGGCTGAGGCCAACTAGCAGTAGTCATTATTTTTAATTTCAGTGGAGTAAAATCACATCTTCTAGTATGCACTATTACTCTTTTGTGTCCCAGATCAAGCTGTATAATTAAGTATATAAAAGGTTTGACTTGTCTGAGCGACATTGATGGCAATTAATTAAGCGAAAGCTGAGAACAGTAAGATAATACCATATGTACTCGCATAATCCTCACACCTTTTTTTTTGGCGAAAAACCGATGCAAAGTTGTGGGGTGCGAGAATTACGCGGGGAAAACTTTCCATGAAAACGTACAGAGCGAAAAAGAAAACGAAGTGGCCGCAAATCGGAATTCTCACACCAACAACTAACAGCAAGGTTTGAGAAATACTAATTAAAACTTACCTCAACAATGAAAGCACAGGTTCAACACAAGGCAAGATTTATTTGAGGCACAAGAAGTGCAAGCAAATAGTCGAGAATTAGAATGCCATACGCAAAGCATTGTGGGCGTAGCAGTAGCATTCGTTGCTCATCAGGAGCCCTCAAAAGGTAAGCGTAGGACATCAAAACTGGGCTGATGGGTCTTTTAACAGAATCCTCCGCAATTTCCTTCTGAAGAAATAAAGTTTACCATTAATCTCAGTTTTAGGCACACAGCAGGCCCAACGCGTCTTGGTGGCTTTCAGCTGCCGTCACCAGTAGCGAACACAAAACTCGTAGACTCCGAAGGGCCTACCGGCAGCCCTGTTGCCATTGTTTAGTGCATGATTTATCACTTTCAACTTGAAATCAGCCGTGTTGCTTCAGTATTGCCCCATAACGTGACAAGATTACCGACACAACATGCAAAACGCGCTGCAATGCGCATTAGCCACTTTGGCATGGCTTGGCTTGGATTGATTGAATCTTCGTGAAATATTAGTATGTTTATTGCTTAAGAGATGGCGCGTGCTATCATCATCAGTGGCTGGAACGAGCAGACGACTTTATTACCGCAGTTTTCGGGGGTGCGATTTTTTTTCGTGGAAAAAAAAAAATCTTGTTTTTGTTAGGTGATGTGGGGGGTGCGAGAATCATGCGAGTGCGAGGATTACGCGTGTAAGTACGGTAATGTAAAAATAGGCCATCATGCAATAGTATTGGTGGTTTCACTATATCATTTCAAACACATCTGAAAAGTACTCATTTTAGCAGTTGCTGTAAGTACCCGTTTTGTTGTGTATGTGTCTTATCTTTTCATACAATGTTGCAGATTTTTTTGACGACTCTCATGTGGAGGCAGCAGTATCAAACACAAGCCAAGACCCTTTCATTCTAGCCACAGAGACAAGGTAAGAGGCATTTCACTTAATTTCTTGGCAATAAGCTTTGGCGTTTCTACTCTCAACAACAGAAGCCGATTTATTTCAGGAGGACGTTGGTAGCAGAGCCAGTACACCAGACAGTGTCGAGTGTGGCTTGTGAGTTAGGACAAGCCATGGAAACACCACCACAACCAGCGTGTGAGCCAGGTCATGTCGCAGATAAATGTGCTCAAGTGCGGATACTGGCCCACGACGAAGCATCACAGGCAGATGAAAAGAAACTTCTGTCAACAAGTGCCACACAAACAGAGCCTCGAGCTTTTTCTTCAGGTACGCATTTTTTCGTAAGACTAAAAAAAGTTTGTTCTTCCAAGGGAGCAAGAAATCGAATGTGCGTGGGTGCGTGCATGTATTGTTACGTTTGATCCGGCGGTTCATTTGGGCAGATGCTATTGTGCGTAAGCCGGACTGCTAGGATGCTTTCAACCCTATCAGCGCCAGGTCAACAAGTTGCTGTCCTGTAGAGGTTCCAGGTAGTTCTTTGTGGTCGAGTCTCAACGAAAGCTTCGTGAGACAACTTTTTTGTTAAACGGGCTCGAACAGTGTGGGACGGCGCCACTGTGGCTTTTCTCATGAAGTCAACCTCTTGACTTGGCTATTGTCATTTACGCGAGGCCATCGCAAAGCTCCAACTGTTCGGAAGCATGCGAAAGCGTCGAAGCCGTTTTCAGGGATCGAGCGTTTTTGACTGCCATGTTTGAGGGAGTTGTGGAAGCCTGTAGCTGAAAGCAGCCATGGACCTCTGCTGACATTCGTGTCAGCGGCCATCTCTCTGGAGGAGCTCATCTTTCCCTCTCTGGACTCTACCTCCTCGCCCTGCAGTGCCTTCAAGGCGTGGGTTGGGTGCGTCATTGTGTGGTCCGCTCGTGATGACTATTGGACATTCTCACCCACGTTCTTCTCACTAGTGGCCCCATTTTTGCACCCTTTCTTGTGGGTGGACCACTGAGACATCACGTCACCTGATTCACGGCAACAGTGGTCACCGCCTTCTTCAGACTGCTGTGTAAAGAATCAACGGGCTATAAAATCTGAGGCATTTTGTAAAAAAACATAGACTGAACCTCTCTACATAGCGGAATCTTCTGAATCTCTTTACAGTTCCCATCTTTCAACTATAATGTAAATAAATCTTCACTCTATCACCTAAGGACGCTTCCCCTCACTGGCAAGCATTTGCTATGTGGACGACAGCGGGGTGCCAGCTACCCTGAAGAAAACCCACCGTACCTACAATTGACCTCACCTAACCCTTAACAACGGTTTCGCAGCGGTGAGATGGACCTCGCGATATGGTGCTCTGTTGTGGTGAGTACTTGGTCTTTGCTTTGACTTTTTAGGCTTCATTTTTTTAGTGTGAGTTAGAGTAGAAGCTGGATTGTTTGATTCTGAGTTAGGAAGATCACCTAGTCTGAGTACTGAATGAGTTTTAGGGATCTCCTACACTTGTGCGAGATGCAGGACCAAAGTAGAACAGCAATCTCGGAGGTGAAGACACTGCCAAAAGGTGGTCTTTTGTATGTTTGCGAAGACCTAGGTATTAAGGTTGAAGAAAGGATGCGCAGGTCACAAATTTTAGAGCTGATTTTGCAAAACGCCAGTGAGAAGGATATTGGATACTGTTGAAGCTTTCAAATAGTTGGAGGAATGAAATTCGGAACGAGAGGAAGAGATTGAACTACTGGAACAAAAAGTTCAAGCAATGCGGCGGAAGTTTCAGCCATCTGTAAGTGTAGTGCACGAGAAGTGCGACGAACAAATGTATGAGGTGCAGTTCACAGCTGTAGAAAAGGCTAGCACGTGTGAAGGCAGCAGCAGGTTTGAAGAAGAACCGAATGCGAGAGCTGAAAAAGATGCTGCTCTTATGAGAGAGGCTACTGAAGGTCAGAGCGAGTGCAACCAGGAACTGTGCCAGTTAAATGCTGGCGAAACAGCTAGGATAGTTGTATACAATCTCGTATAGACATCATGTGAGGTTGTCGCGACGGTGGATCTTGCAAACGAGGTCAAAGCAGTGTCAAGGACACCGGAGTAAGCTCAGGAGAAGCAGCGATTGGAGAGATTGACGGTATCATTGCAGTTGCAAACAGCTCTCAGGAATGTGAGCAAGATTTTTTCAAAGGGAAGCAGCTGCATTGTTCTTGAATGTGTTAAGCTTTCCGCTAGTCTAGAGTGCGAAAGAGACGATTTTGTCAAAGATTATTTAGATTGCACTGGTGAGACAGCTGATCAAAGCTGTGAGAGAATCGACGAGCTTGAGTGACGATCTGGAAGCTCGGAAATGAACCGTAGGAAACGATGCAGACAAAAGAGACGTCAAAGAGCAGTGGGCGATACAAAAGACACTACGTGCGTGAAGGATGGTTCGAAACCTGTCAATGTAGCAAGCAGAACTAATAAATTCTCAGCAGCGTCAGAACTGCTTCGCATGCACCCGAGCCATCGGATGAAAAGAAAAAGGAAAACAGGATTTTCGCGGATGTAATCACGTGGAAGGTTTCAGTACTCGCTTTGTTCTATCCACAGAACGTTGCAGGGCGCGCGTGAATGCAGGGTTAGCACAGGTGAATCAGACCGATAAGGCGACAGAGCCAAGAAACCAAAGTGCCGAAGTAGTGTGGCAGGTGGTGCAGAAGCACCCTTAAGCTGTGAAACCACCGGTGATGGAACCCGGGTTCAATTTCCGAGTTGTGAGAAAAGGGTCGGTCGCAAACGCCGTAAAAGAGCGAAGTGAAGAAACGCGGTAATGCGAAGACATGAAAGAGGTGGCAAACAGCCGGGTGAAAGAAAGAATGGCAGCTCCTTAGCCAGTTCAGCGAACAGGCCTTTGTGTCATGCAGTAAGGCACAAGCGTCAGAATGGTAGGTCACAGCATGCATTTTCTCAACTAAATGTGCGATAGAGATTTAGAGCTTTGCGTGGACGGGTGCGTCGAAGAGGTCCTAGAGGAAAGGCCACATTAACTAATTGCCATGCGGGTGCAAGCCAAAAGAGGGCATCCCCATTCTTTCCCACGCGTTTCTCGGGTCTCCTCCGCGAAACTGACAGAAGCAAGCTCAAATAGCGAATGAGGCGTGACTGCACGGTTCAGCTTGTCGCTCGTACACGTTATAGCCTTGGGCGCTTTCAAAATCCGCGAAGACCCCGACCGCCGCATGTACAATTGAAGAGTGAGGGACAGCTGTAAGCTGGAGAGTGGGACACAGGAATTTCCTTAGAAACATGTTCGTTTATTTTTGGTTTTAAAGTAATATTCCTGTGTCGTCTACACGGCTTGTTTATTTAGTTTATCACTTCAATAATTTTTTGCAGGCATTGTAAAAGTTCTGAGTTATGTTGTTAAGCGTTATACGCAAGCAGTGCCCCGTATCACTCAGCCGACTGTAATCAATTGGTTTTTCTTTTATATAAGAGCACGTTAGTTGTGAATGAAGATCTGTACGCCCCGCTAATTTTGAAAGCGTGGTTGAAAGCGTGGTAGCATTGTCGAGCGGAGCCATAGTTTGTAGACTTCGTACCTTTTGTTGTGTATTGTGAAATTGTAGAACATCTTAAGAGCGTAGATGAGCATTGTTAAGGAAGGTTTTAGAATAAAACCAAAAGCAATTTTCGAAATGCTCATGTTTTGAAAATCACTTGATACAAGTTTTTTAGTGCAAAGCTTACGCAACTTTTGTTAGGTGCTCATGACGTGTATGGCATCTAGTGTTATTTTTCATTGTGTGTTGTTTGTGAACATAACGTTCAAATGTGCGTTTAGTGGTGCCTTGGTTATGGGGATTGACCTATGGTTAGGTGTGTGTTGTATGCTAGCGCTCTTTGGAGGAGAGTATCATGTTGTGCTAGGGTGCATAGCAAAGTCCTGTGCGTTCTTTAAAAACATGCACTCACATGAAGCTACGTTCAGCAAATGAGCGTGTAGTACGAGGGGTTTATTCTCTTTATTTTGTTATTTTAGTGAGTGCTTAGGGATCATGTGATCTCTTGAGCTGAGAGTTGCGCTTTACCGAACGTTAAAGTTAGGGATACGTTTCAGGTAGTTATAAGACGCAGTTCGATCTGTTGTGAGTGAGTTTTCGTTGGCGTCAGAGTGTCCTTCAAGTAGGTACTCATGACTACGCCTTGAAAGTATGTATTGAGAGAATAGAGAATGCGCACCGATACCTTGTGTAGGTACAGCCAGCATTCCTGTGAAACCATTGTAGTTAGCTGTGTTTCATTAAGTTGGCTAGAAGTTAGCAGATCTTAGTTGCAACATAGTAGTGCAGATGGTAGGAGAAGGTTAGTTTTTAAAGAGCTTGTTTATTGTTGTCTGGGGCCAAATTGTACTTGCCTTTGTGTGCTTTTCTGGCACGGCAAATTGATGCATCTTCAGTAGGCATCTCCACCTCCATGATTGTTGTAACTTTGGCGGCACGAAATTGTGTCAAAATTTTAGTGTAGTGGATTTTTCATTGGTTTGTGTTTTTTTTGGAAGCCTGGAAGTTTTCAAGCGAGTCCAATGCACTTGACTGCGGCAATGGTATTGTGTTGTGTGGTGTGTTTTGCTGTTGTCAATCATTGTGGGGTGGTTTGGGAGTTCAGTTGCAAGTTTGCTACTGAAGGCTCCTGGCTCGGCCATCCTCCTCGTCACCAGCCATTCTCTTCGTGCCCAGCGGATGGGAGCGCTGGCCAGCCGAGATTTTCCAGGCGGTTACGTTTGGTACGGCGGTTCGTCTGGGCAGACGCCATTGTGTGTAAGCCGGACTGCTAGGATGCATTCAACCCCATCGGCGCCCAGTCAGCAAGACGCTGTCCTGTAGGGGTTCCAGGTAGTTCTCTGTAGTCGGGTCTCAACGAAGCTTCATGAGACAACCCTTTTGTTGAGCAGGCTCGAATAGCGTGGGACGGCGCCACTGTGGCTGTTCTCGTGAAGTCAACCTCTCGACTCGGCTATTGTCATCTACGCGAGTCCATCGCAAAACTCCAACAATTCGGAAGCGTGGGAAGGCGTCGAAGAAGCCGTTTTCAGAGATCGAGCGTTTTGACTGCCATGTTCGAGAGAGTTCTGGAAGCCTGTAGCTAAAAGCAGCCATGGACCGCTGCTGACATTTGTGTCAGCGGCCATCTCCTTGGAGGAGCTCATCTTTCCCTCTCTGGACTCTACCTCCTCGTTCTGCTGTGCGTCGTTATGTGGGTGCGTTATTGTTGGTTGCGTCATTGTGTGGTGCACACGTGATGACCATTGGACATTCGCACCCACGTTCTTCTTCTCACAAGTGGCCCAATTT